CTTTTCTAAGGATTTGAATGTGGAAATTATACCTTTTTTGTGGAAAGAACATATGAGACACACATTATTGTTCCAACTAGACTGTTATGCGTATATATATATGTGTTAATACATGTCTGGAAGTGATGAGAACGTTCACACTAAATCCATTGTTTGTGTCCCCCCTGTTAGTTTACACTATGTCGAGTGATGGTAAGATACTGGCAGTTTTGTGCTGGGTGAATAGCAGGGCTGTAAGTAAAAAGTGTTTCCCGAAGGCGGACTGTGTGCCGACTGAAATCACTCCGCAGTAGAGGAGAACATGATTAGTTCCTAGTGTAATCTCGGCTATATAAGCCATAATAACGTATTAGTATGTTTTGTTTGTTTTTGTTTACCTGGCATGTAAAACAAGCTGTCATGACTAAAACCTTTTCTTTCTGTTGGTCATACTCAACGTGTTGTATGGAAGTGTTGGAAACTCACTATAATGATGTACAGAGAATGTTTGACTGATTTTTGCATGTACTTATAGCTAAACAGGTAAGTTAACCTTCGGGCCAATCTTCCAAAAGCTCATTGTATTACCTGAACAGATTAGGGACGTGGAATATTATACAGCGAAATGAAACCTGTGAAGTCAGTCTCCATAGATTGTGTTTAGTAGAAATTAAGGGCGCGATTGTGTTTTTCAGGACTTTGCCGATTCAATATTCCACTTGGTGAGGGAGAAGTACCGGTCGCTGGTGGGCGGCTGCAGTCCTGCGCACGCTCGACACAAATCCCTGGCAGGCATCGTAATGACCCGAGGTATGGCAAATTTCATTGACTTTTATATATCACTTTGAATTATTGAAGTGGTGCAATATAGAGAGAGGGAGGGAGGGAGGTAAAGAGAGAGAGACAGGACAAGAAATGGGAGGGGGAAGGAATTCTAGATTGAGAGAGAAATGATAAACTGAGGGTGGGACGAGAGAGAGTTTCCACTCCATGCTGTACCTTGCACTCGTAGAGAGTATACCTTCCTGATGAATTATTGACTATTCAGAGTCTCTGAGGAGAATGAGACATGGTGCTGGGTGTCAGTCATCCCCACTGCATGCTGGACTTGCTGTGCTCAGGCAGCTTTGACAGGAGTTCCAGATGCCACAGTGGAAATCTTAACTAGATCAGCTTAAAACTTAATCTGAAACCCAACTGAGTGACACACTGAAGGAACAGCGAGGAGGAGGAAGCCTCACACTGCTGGTCTCCTGCAGCATGAAACAATGAGTTATTACTACGCATTTATCTTTCATGCTGTATTTATCTTTCATGCGTGGTGTTTGTTGCATATTACATCAGGGCCTTTCACACGCACAAACAGACACACAGACCCATACAGTACGTACACACCTCGACACACCCGACACACTCCACATCTCTGATGATACAAAAGGTGCACCAATGCACACATAAACCCCAGAATGAGGTCACATGACGTTTGTACAAAAGGAGCTGTCATATTTTTTTAATCTGCTATGAAAACTGAAACAAGATTTCAAATTTTGACATACAAATAAGATGAATCATAACCAAAACCAGACCATCTTTGTTGTTGTTAGCCATAGTTGTTACCTGTTCTTCAGTTATTAGCTGGCTGAAAACGTTGTTAGCTGATATTGTCATTTGCTGGTGTTAATTATTTACTTAGCTGTTGGTGGTAGCAGGCTGAACATTTTGTTAGCTCTTGTTATTAGTCATTGCTGCTAGCTGGTGATGTTTTAGACAAAAGTGTATGGTTTGTTGCTTGCTAAGGCGAGTACAAGGCGAGTGTTCGGTAGCTATATAAAGATATATATATGTCAAAAAACATACAAAAAAGAAGCCAAAATATTCGGGGTTTAGAGCCAGACTATCGAGGTCCCGCCCATACACACAGCCGACTCAATCGCAAGCAGTGCTCAGCTATCAATCGTGACTTGAAACACCCTTTTTATAGTATTAAATTATTTTTATTTTATTTAACTTCAGAAAAACTTCAACAACATATACTGTATCTATCTAAAATGCCAGAAACCATCTTTTGGAAATTTACGTGTTACCTGCTAATATGGAGGGGGCGGAGTTTATGACCTATACTGCAGCCAGCCACCAGGGGGCGAGCAAGATCTTTTGGCTTCACTTTTGGGGAGCTGTCATGACGTTCATCTCTATAAACAGTCAATGGCTTGGCCCACGTGTTACCGGTGATAGCAACATGCTAGGTAGCTTAACATATTCCAAAACAAAGGGCCTTCACTTTTTGTGGGATAAACCAAGTCTACACACACAGGTTCGCACATGTGCAGTGCCAACACACACACACACACACACACACAAACACACACACACACAAATCCATGTGCACACAGGAAGATAACACTCCCTGTGTGCACATGGATTTGTGTGGCTGCAGGCTGTGGGGTGCAGGGGTCAGTGGAAAGGGGATTGTATCTCTGCTGTCTTTGGATCTGCAGCTCATCAGTTTAGCTTCACTGAGACCGCTGCTCATCCTGACCCTAATCCAATCCCTCTACTTCCTCTGCCTTCTTTGGGTTTTTTTTATTAATTACACGTTATGTTCGAGAATGAGTAGGGTGAAAGTAAATTCCAGGAGGTGGAGGGCGGTGTGGGTGGCCGGTCGTACGTCAGAAACTTGCGACACTGGGGAGTGTTCTGTTTCTCCCCATTTTTCTCTTCTTTCTCTTCCTCTTTCTTGTTTGTCTTGTGTGTGTTATGCTCTGCTTTTTCTAAGATTTAATAGTCCGTTTGAACGTAGCAACACTTGTGGATGTCGGACATTTAGCTGACTGAGTGAGATTAAATCGCCAAGTGGAGTTCGGGCGCAAATCTCTGTGTGTGTCTCATGCCTCTGCTTTTGCCTCAAGAATATTAATCAGGGTCCGTCTTTGAACCGTAGACAGACGAACCCCCCCCACCCTTGCTGGAGTCCCGTCGAGACATTTGAGCTGCAACCTGAGTGAGATTAGCCTCGCCACCAGGCTGAGAGTTGCGAGACGGCCGCCAAAGTAAACCACCAGCACACATTGTCAAATAGTGTGGAAAATCTCATTTGAATCGATCTGATAGCATTGGGTGCCTGGAGATGGTAAACAGTGTTCAGATGTGCTCAAAGACATGAAAAATCAGGAACGTCCACATTGAAAATGCTAAAAAGACCCCCCCCTGCTTTTTTTTAAACTTGTTTGTTGGATGGGATGAGAGAAGCTTCTTCTGAAGCTTTTTTATTCAGCAGGGTGATGAGACTCAGAGTGCGGAAAAATACCACAGGGACTCAAAGAAAGAGATGAGAGCAAATGGTTTCAAACAAGTTGATTACAAATGACGGTTAAGCTATGGTTCTTAGTCTCCATATCCATTTTCAAATAGGGATTTTTCTCTACTCTTTATCTGGTTTTCCGGCTGCCTCAAATTTTAACGTTCAATAATCACATCCGGCAACAAAACAGCTTGCTAAGAGGCAAAAAAATTAGCAGAGATGTGCCCAGGGTGTGTTGCAGCAGAGAGAGATTTGAGAGCTTCAGCAGGATTTCACAAAGACACCCTTATATGTTCAGAGCAGTTGCCTGTTAAAGCTAATAAAGATTCAACAGTGTGCATTCTCTGCTCTTGCCAAGTTGTTGTTTTGTTTTTTTCTCTGCAAGTGCTGAGCATTTTCAGAGATTTTCTGTGATTCAAACGCCATGCGTTGGATGACATTCAGTGCAATCATTCCAACATCTTGCGATGAAAGCACACATGAAAGATAGGATTTATTAAGCTCAACCTAAATGGCATATAAATGAGTTTACTAAAAGTTGACCTTGAGAGCTTATTCTGCTTTAGAAGAAAATGTTTTAATGTCTGCTTTATGGTGCTCATAGATAATGCGTGGCTTATTAGGAAACATTTCCCCCTGTTTTATAACCATAGAGAATAAAGGGATTCAGATAATAGCTCTGCAGTGTCTGTCGATTGCCATAGCCTTGTGTAATAATGGATCACTGTAAAGTTCATGGTCATGCCATTTATGTATTTTTCTATTTGATTCTCCCAGTGGTTACTAATCGTGATTGTATTTTTAGCAACTTGTCCTCACTTTTTATTTGAATGATGTAATTTGCTTTTTGCTCAGGCCTTATCTCTAATATTTTGTAGATATTAGCTTCAGTTGTGTTTCTGGAGTAGTTCACAGAGACTGAAGGGTTAGCATTAACTGGAGCCTTTCTGTGTGGAGGTTATTTGCGCGGGTATCCTCAGTTTCTTGCAGTGTTGGAAGATGTATTCAGAGAACACAGTACAAATCCTCAGGTAAAGTTCTTCATACAGAATTTGATTTTAGTTAAGCAAACGAGTATCGTCACCAAAAAGTGCTTTAGCACCAGAAGAAGAACATTTTTTTAATATAATAAACCTGTTTCATATACAAATAAACTTGTTTCAAGTGTGTGAATCTTGAAAAAACACATAATAAAGATTATAGTGTATCAGAAATTCCTCCAATACTGCTTAAAATGTGGTGACAATAGCAGACTATACATTATTGGGTTGGGATTCCTGCAAGTGTGGATAACTGATGACCTTATTAGCATTTCTTTGGTAAAATATTTGCTACAGTGTGTTAGATGGCTCTAATACACATTTAAGATTGCATCTAAAACAGAGTTTTCTCTTCCATTAAGTAAAAGGGAAAATGATAAATTAGATAATTATAACAGTGACTCAGTAAATGAAATCAAATTATTTTCTATTCTGAGTGACTGATAATGGCAGCAGTGTAACATAGTTATTTGATTGCAGCATTAAGTTCAATTTACACATCATGAAGTACAATCCAGCCTGTGAAAACCGGTTTGTAATGTCTTCTGTAGCTCTCCAGAGAGATTTCTAATGTTTAAAAAAAATAACCATGATGATGTCAGGGGAGGTCTAATGCATGCTGCTTTTAAGTTGCATTATGGGACATGTAGGATCAAGGTTGTTTTTTTTAGCTTGACACCGATCTCAGCCCCACTACCACATATGGAGCGTAACCACTGATTTTACTGTTTCTTTTTCCCTTGTGTGTCCCTGGTTGACATCGCTGCACCATACTTTGTTTTGTGAGAAGAGTCCAGCCCCTTCAATCAAAAGCCTGGCGTCTTAAATCAAAAATATAAATTTAGGTTAGGCTGTCTGGCCAAACAGCCTAAATGACTGACTCACAGTCTGCTGCAGCGCTGTGTAATGTAGTGTGATGCAGCCTGTGAGAGGCCATTTTGCCAACATGCAGACAGAGCAAGTGGAGAACCAGCGTTGTGGGGTAGAAGTAATGCAACATTAAGCACAAACACAGAGGGTAATACATATGCTGTGGCTGTTTGATAAATATGGTGGGTTACATTCTAACGTACGAAAAACAAACTGGTTCAGCAAAAATATTCCCAGACTTTATGTGCAGCTAAAGAGTTCCTGTTAGTTCTAGACTTACAACCTCAATGCACTTTTACCCTAGTCTTTAGTCTTTAATGTCCTGCTTCATTAAAGGAGACACTGGGTTCTATTTTCTATTTTTATCTGACTCCATGGCATATGGCACAAGGGGTAATGGCACACAGTGCAGGTGTGCAGGGCATAGTTTTATGGCACAGTTGGAAGCAGGGGGGGCATTTGGAAAAAGACATTTATTCACAGGTGCTGACATTAGTCATGACCAATAAAATGACTTCACTTTATTATTTTGAAAGGGGCGAGTCTATGCCACAGCATTCAAGCAATTTTGTGATGGATGGAGCAACGTGGTCTGGATC